GACACTAGGCCACCAGAGCTCCCACTTAGAAGTGCATTTTAAGGTTCTACCATGTCTTTTCATGCTTTGATAGCTCATTTCTTTCATTACAAAGTGCTATTATTTCATTACCTAGATAAAGCACAGATGGTTTATCCATTCACCTATTATAAGACATCTTGGTTGCTTCCAATTTTTGGTAATTAGGATAAAAAACATTTGCGTGCAGATTTTTGTGTAAATTTTCAATTGATTTGAGCGAATCTCTCAGAGGGTTAATGCTGGTCCATATGGTAAAAATACATTTAGCTTTTGTAAGAAACCACCAAACTGCCCTTGAAAGTGGCTCTACCATTTTACATTTCCATCAGCAGTGAATGAGAGTTCCTGTTACTCTACATCCTCACCAACATATTGTGTTTTCAGGGTTTTGGATTTTAGCCATTCTAATAGGTATGTTGTTGTTATGTGCCATCGAGTCAAACCGACTCATAGCGACCCCTCCTTGGGTTTCTGAGGCAGAATCACTACAGAAGTAGATTGCCCCATCTTCCTTCCAAGGAGTGGCTGGTGGGTTATGTAGTAGTGTCTTATTGTTTTAGTTTGCAATTCCCTAATGACGTAAAATGTTGAGTATCTTTTCATATACTTACTTTCCATCTGTGCATCTTTCCTGGTGAAGTGTCTATTCAGATCTTTCGTTCATTTTTTTTTCAGTGTTTTTTTTTTTCCTTTCTTTTTTTTAAAATTGTGCTTTGGGTGCAAATTTACAGAGAATTTGTTTTACATTCAACAGTTCATATGTATTTGGTTTTATTCCCTAATTACCATCCCTAACCCTAAACCCACCCTCATCCTCTCCCTTCCCAGTGACCCCTACCCCCAATCCCTGTGGCCTTCTTGGTTATGCACTCCTGTCTGTCCAGCTTTTCCTCTGTGTGAATGTTGCCCATCTGGTGCCCCATGGCTGATTGCTCGAAAGGGTGTATCTCTGTAGAGCTGGTGGGTGCATCGCTCTGGTTTGGGTGTTCTGCATGTAAGTCTTACTACTGTTGGTCTTTTGCCCATCTTTAAACTGGATTCTTTGTTTCTTATTGCTGAGTTTTAATATTTCTTTATAATTTTTTGATACAAGTCCTTTTTCATGTATGTGTTTTGCAGCTGTTTCTATCAGTGTGTGAATTGTCTTTTCATTCTTTTAATTATTTATAAACTTTTAATGAATCCTCAATATATACATAGTAAAATTCAAAGTTGTTTAGCTAGCACTGGATACTCTTCCTTCTTTATTCCAACCAAACTTCTAATTTCATAGATATGTGTACACTCCCTCATGCCATTTTTCTGTCTTTGATTTCTGTCACCATTCATTGAGTTCATTCACAAATATTTATTGAGGATCTGATGTGTGCCAGACTGTGGCCTAGGCTATTATAGTTAACAAAAGGGACATGGATTTTTCATGGAGATTACGCTTGTGGGAGAGCTGACATTAAGCATAGGAATAATTCTTTAGTTACAATTACAGTAAGTGGTGTGAGGGAAAAGTACAAGGATATTGACAACAGTTATATAAGAGACTTAATCTACTTGAGGTTGAAGGTGGTTTCAAAGATGACCTATTGGAGGAAATGTCATTTAAGCTAGACCTAAGTAATTAGTAAGTGTGAGCTTTGCAAAGAAATTAGTAGAGGAAATAGCATGTGTAAAAGCACAGAAGTGGGAAGAACCTTGACTGGAATATATTAATTCTTTGAGATGTAATTTTCCATAAAGAAATTTAGGTATATGTTGTCTTCTAAATAATAACCTACTGGTCTGTAATACTTACTTTACTTTTCAAATTTATAATGTAGCCATAACTCAATGAATTTTATTTTTAATGATTTCTTTTAACCACTGTAAACAGCCTAAGATTAGATTCAGGTCTTAAAATGATCCAGGGGATTTATATAGAGATCCTGTTTCTAGGTAGAAATTTACATAGATTTATGTATTTAATATATATCTATATTATATTATATATGTTGTTGTTGTTGTTATGTGCTGTCAAGTCGGACCCGACTCATAGTGACCCCTCCTTGGGTTTCCGAGGCAGTATCACTATGGAAGTAGATTGCGCAACCTTCCTTCCGAGGAGTGGCTGGTGGGTTTGAATCGCTAGCCTTCTGGTTAGCAGTCAAGTGCCTTAGGCACTAGGCTACCAGAGCTCCCTATATTATATATAGTATAAATAATATAAATTTACATAGGATTATGTAGAAATTCTCTGGGCAACATTTTGGGTTTTCATTATTGCTTGTAGGTACCAGTCAAAAAGCCAGTCATTAAGAAGGCCTGTTTTATGTTCTAGACACCCTTCCCTGCTGTTTATTTTCTGTCCATTCTTTGATCTGCTTTATGGCTGGCTCTTTGATATCAATGGGAAGGATATACAAAAGATATATTAAAATCGTTCTTTTGTTTTCAAATAAATATTTTTCATAATTCTGTGGCAAATATTTTTATTTCTCAAATGTATGAAGATCTATATAAAGAGTGATGTATCAGCCAAGAGTTTTGGTTACAGAAACCAGTTCTGGCTACTTTGAGCAGAAAAGTATTTTCATCAGAAATATACTGAGTAGTTGAAGAATCCACAGGAAGACTAGAGAATCTGGTTGGAGAATGGCTAAGACCCTAAGAGAGGTAGGTGGCAGGAAGGCCTAGTCAATGTCAATGAATACATATTGGGAAACTATTACTATCAAATCCTCACTCCTGCTACTGCTGCTTTAAACAATGTTTTACTGATAGCATCTTTGTGGTGCAAGCTGAAGTTCCAAGTCTAGGTTATTGCTTGGCTGAGTTACTGTTCTGACTGCTACAACAGATCTCCTCCCTTTGGCTTCTCCCTTTTGGCCTCCCCAAACTCATATACTAGGGAAGGTGCCAAGTAGGAAGGGGGTTTGGATCTAGAAAGACCTACTAAAGACAACTCTCTTCCACAACTACCCATTAAAATATATTTGTAAGCAATACTATGTGATGACAAACTTCCTGAAATATGAGGTGAAATTGTTTATTGTTAGTTACGTGCTTTCGAGTTGGCTCTGATCCATAGCAACCCTGTGTACAACAGAACGAAACACTGCCCAGTCCTGAACCATCCTCGCAATCCTTGCTACGCTTGAGCCCATTGTTGCAGCCGCTATATCAGTTCATGTCATTGAAAACCTTCCCCTTTTTCACTGACCCTCTTGTACTTTACCAAGCATGATGTCCTTCTCTGGAAATTGGTCCTTTCTGACCACATGACCAAAGTAGATGTGATGAAGTCTGGCCATTCTTGCTTCTAAGGAGCATTCTGACTGCACTTCCAGATTTGTTCATTCTTCTCGCAATCCCTGGTATTTTCAATATTCTTCACCAACACCACAATTCTCAGACAGGGTTTCACTGCTATTCATGAGGCTTTCAGTGGCCAGTTTTTTTCAGAAGTGGATGGCCCTGTCCTTTTTCCCAATCTGTCTTAGCCTGGAAGCTCCGCTGAAACCTGTCTACCATGGGTGACCCAGCTGGTACTTGAAATACTGGTGGCATAGCTTCCAGCCTCACAGCAACATGCAAGCCACCAACCACAGTAAATAAACTAATGAAATAGTTTAAGGCATTGCAAATGTTCTGGAAAGCATATGTTTGTTTATTTTAAGAAGGTTTGTGGTAGCGTATTAGAGAAAAATAATTTATTTTTGTTTTTTATATTTAAAGTGAACCAGTCGTGTGCTGTTTGACTAATAGCAACCTTATATGACAGAGTATAAAATTGCCCCATAGGGTTTCCTAGACTGTAATCTTTAGTCTGGGAGGAGATTAACAGGTCTTTTCTCATGTGGAGTGGCTGGTGGGTTTAAACCATGAACCTTTTAGTTAGCAGTCCAGTGCTGAACCTGGACTCCTTAAACCAGTCTTGATACAAACCCAAACCTATTGCCATCAAGTTGATTCCAACTCATAACCACCCTACAGGACAAAGTAAAACTGCCTCATAGGGTTTGTAAAGTTATAAATCTTTATGGAAGCAAACTGCCACATCTTTCTCCCATGGAGTGGGTGGTTGGTTTGAACTGTTGACCTTTTCATTAGCAGCTGAGTGCTTAACCATGCATCTCCTGGACTCTCTAAACCTGTCTAGGTATACCTGAATTTTTTTTAGCATAACCATGACTAACGAAATGAATTAGATTATATATTTTTGTAAGAAAAAGAATCATAAAAGGTAAAAGTGGTCATCAGATAGGTATATATATTTATTTCCCAACATTTTTCTTTAGTGTATAAAAAAATTTCATACTTATAACATGTATACAATGTTTCTATGTTATGTTGATAAGAAGAGGTGAAACCAAAATATACAGTAAATACATATATCCTAATTGCTTAAAAATCTCAATTAGAAAAGAAACTGTAAAAAAAAATCAAATTAAGACCAGCACTGTTTAATTCAGTTATGAACTATTTGATCTCTTCTTACCAGTTTCCCTTAGCTTGTAATTTTTTTCATAGTACTTCTCATAAATCAGTCTCTTTATAAGAACAAACAAAATTACATATAAGAACTCTTTCTTTAGGTATATATAGATATGTGCTACATGGCTTCTGGGAAAAGGAATGATATCCAAAGAAAAATTAATTTTGGAATAGTTTACTACATACATGAATGCTTTTGATGTGTAAGATCACTCTGGTAATAAGGTTAATGTCTCCATTGTAACTGCAGATTGTAACATAGATTATAGATCAAGTACAGAAGTAATTTCTAGAGAGAAAAGTGTTATCATAGTCCTAACAGAATAGTTAAAAGCATCATCAAATCTCCTAGAAGGTTTTCTAATCTAGAAATGCATGACTGTATATTGCAACAGGCAAGAGAAAGTCAGTTTCCTTTGCAGAATGCTTATAATCTCAGTAGTCATAGTAAAACTTGACTTGTTCCAGGTTTTCAAATCCTCTTTTCCAAGACTTCGTATGTTTTGATATTTTTAAAAATTCATTCTTTGAAGTTTCTGTAATGAGAAGAGAATTTTATTTACCTGGGTTATTCCTGTTTCCCCAGTTTTTCAGACTGGATGTATACAAACATAGCAGAAAGAGAAGCTGATTATAATCAAGGACTCTTGATCAAAACGTTTCACACAGAATCATAGCAGAATCTTTCTGCATTTGTCCACTTCATTTTGTTTTTTCAAAAGCGTTATCTTGGATAACATTGGTAATCTGTTAACTTACCTTGATTATAAGGTTTGCTTGCTTAGATTTGGGATTTAGGCATCGTTGTCCTTTATTTGCTTTCAGGATGATACTGTTAAGGAAAGACCCAAAAGAGTCTTAAATTTTGGATGAAAAAACATAAAGCAAAAGACCTGTCATCTTTTGCAAGCCCAGCACTTACATCACTTCTAGTTTGTCACAGTTGTAACTTGGGTAAATTATGGAGGCTTTCTCAATGTCTGCCACTTTCACTGCTTTTACTCCAGGGCCTATGCAAAGACATCGTCCTGCTTTGAACATTGGGAAGCCTAGAACAGATCATAACATCAGTTATTAAGGCATCTGTTGAATTGGATGGATATGCTTTATAATCCTGGTGATGAATGTGTACTGAGTTTTCATTACTGACAACCCACTGCCATTGAGTTGATTCCGACTCTTAGTGACCCTATAGGACAGAGTAGAACTGCCCCAGAGGTTTCCAAGGGTGTAATCTTTATAAGAGTAGACTGCCACATCTTTCTTCTGCAGAGAGTCTGGTGGGTTTGAACTGCCAACTTTTCAGTTAGCAGCCAAGTGCTTTTACCCCTGTGCTTCTAGGACTACTTTCATTAATGATAAAAATAGTAATTTATCAAATAGCACTTGACACCACTGGAAAAGAAGCTTAAGTAAGATGTTGATGATTTTTCTCCTTAAATTTGTAAGCAAACCTTAAAGAATAGAGGGAGCAGAAAGGAAGTTTGTGCATTATTTCCTTGATTTGTATTGGAGGTGAGACTTATTTGCCTCTTTTATGCTCAAGAATTTTTCCAGGAAATTAATACCATTATCCTATATAATATCTACTTGATAGCCATTTAAAACTGTTGGTAAAGGCACTTGCCAGATATTGTAGCCAAATACAAAATTCCATGAAGTTTATTGTCCTTAGTTTCAGTAATAATCCATAATTCCTTAAATATTTTCTGCCAAAACTGTAGTAATTTCTAATGCACAGGGTTAAACAGATACCTTTATCATGTTTTTAGGGATAAAAGTGGAAAAAAGATATTTGAAACACTGTAAAAGAAGATTTAAACCGACAAGTAAAAGTACCACATACCTTGAAGAATTGTAGCACAGAGTAGCAGAGCCAAGGCTATGGCCATGCCCTTCATACTCATGTTTGTCAGCTGTTGCTGCTGCAGCTTCAGCTTTGATATTCTTTAAGGAGGGAGTAGAAATGGTGTGCATGAAAGGAGATTCTTAGTTGATATATAAAGGGCATTTTATACACTGTCTTATGGCAACAGGAATTTCCCTCCATGAGTCATACTCTCTTCTTGCTTCCAAGAGTTTCTATTTTGTTCTCTTATAAATATCACTGTCTCTGTTTGTTGCAGTATTGAAAGTGATACAATGTGAAAATACTTTGTAAACAGTAAAGTGCTGTATAAATGTGGATAGGATACACTCAGATGGAAACCACCCTTCTTCAGGCATTATTTCCCAGAATTATATTTAATCGTTGGCCTTCTCTGGGCGTTGGAATTCTGGTGGATATTCATGAATATTGTCTTCCTGGCTTCAGCTCTTTCACCCTCCATCCTTCACATAACTACACAAATGAACATTCTAAATAACAATTTTTCCTTTTAAATCCAATCTCTTTATCATCATATGTAAGACCTTTTTTATTTGACACCTGATGGCTTTTTTAACCCTGTTGATCACAATAAATGGAGAAGGGATAGAAATTGTCAAAGATTTCATATTGCTTGGCTCCACAGTCAACATCAATGGAATCAGATGATGTATTGCACTGGGGATATTGGCTGCAAAAGACTTGTTTAAAGTGCTGAAGAGCAAAGATGTCTTTGAAGATTAAGGTGTGTTTAACCCAATCCATGGTGTTGTTTTCAGTTGCCTCATATGCATGTGAAAGCTGGTCAGTGAATTTCTTTTTTGTTTGTTTTATGTGTGTCAAGTAGGACCCGACTCATAGTGACCCCTCCTTGGGTTTCTGGGGCAGTATCACTACGGAAGTAGATTGCCCCATCTTCCTTCCGAGGGTCAGTGAATAAGGAAGACCAAAGAAGAGTTGATGGTTTTGAGTTGTGGTATTGGCAAAGAAAACTGAAAAGTACCATGGATTGCCAGAAGAATGAACAAATCTGACCTGGAAGAAGTGCAGCCAAATGCTCCTTGGAAGCAAGAATGGCCAGACTTCATCTCACCTACTTTGGTCATGTTCTCAGAAGGGACTATTCCCTGGAGAAGGATGTCATGCTTGGTAAAGTGGAGGGCCAGCGAAAAAGGGGAAGACCCTCAATGAAATGTATTGACACAGTGGCTGCAACAATGGGCTCAGGTATAGCAAGTGTTGTGAGGCTGGCATAGGATGGGGCAGTGTTTTGTTCTGTTGTACATACAGTTGCTATGAGTGAGAGTCACCTTGTCAACACCTAACAACAATGTACATTTGTACACTATAATTGCATATCTAAAGATGTCTCGCCATACTTGCATGCTTATATCCATTTTTTTTCTGCATTTTAACAACTTTTACTTTATATATTATAGTATTTTATTTGCATGTAAAATTGTATAAAGGGAGAGGGAGACAGACAGCCCCCACCCCAAGGTGGGAAGGAGGGAAAGCCAGGTGGAGAGGTTTCAGACAGCTAAGGGAGATGAACTTGTCTGTCAGTTTCTGGTACTGTGGTGGCTTGCATGTTGCTGTGAGTCTGGAGGCTGTGTGCCACCAGTGTTTCAAACACCAGCAGGGTTGCACATGGTACACAGGTTGCAGTGCAGCTTCCAGATTGAGACAGACTCGGAAGAAGAAAGAGACCATCCACTTCTCAAAGAATTGGCCAGGGAAAACCTTATGAATAGCAGAGAAACACAGTCTGATACATTACTGCACAACTTTATGAATAGCCCAGAAACACTGTCTGATGCAGTGCTGAAAGACAAGCCCCTTAGATCAGAAGGTGCTCAAAATAAGACTGGGAAAGAGCTGCTTCATCAGAGTAGAACCAACCTTAGTGATATGGATAAAGTAAAGCTTTTGGGACCTCCATTTGCTGCTGTGGCACGACTCAAATTGATGAGAAACAGCTGCAAACATCCATTAATAATCAGAACATGGAATGTATGAAGTATGAATCTAGGAAAATGGAAGTTTTCAAAAATGAAATAGAACACATAAAGATTGATGTCCTAGGCATTAGTGAGCTGAAATGGACTGGTTTTGGCCATTTTGAATCAGACAACCGTATGATCTACTATGCTGGGAATGACAAATGGAAGAGGAATGGCATGACATTTATCATCACAAAGGATGTTTCAAGTTCTGTTCTGAAATACAATGCTGTCAGTGGTAGGATACCCAATTAATACCACTATTATTCAAATTTATGCACTGACCACCAAAGCCAAAGATGAGGAAATTAAAGACTTTTATCAACTTCTACAGTCCGAAATTGACCAAACATGCAATCAAGATGTGTTAATTGTCACTGGTGACTGGAATGCAAAAGTTGGAAACAAAGAAGAATCACCAGTAGTTGGAAAATGTGGCCTTGGTGACAGAAATAATGCTGGAGATCACATGATAGAATTTTGCAAGACCAATGACTTATTCATTGCAAAAATTTTTTTCAACAACACAAATGGTGGCTATACAAGTGGACTTCACCAGATGGAGTATACAGGAATCAGTCTGACTACATCTGCGGCCAGAGGTGATGGAAAAGCTCAATATCCTCAGCCAAAACAAGGCCAGAGCTGATTATGGAACAGACCATCAACTGGTCATATGCAAGTTCAACTTGAAGTTCAAGACAAGTAAAACTACTCCACAAGAGCCAAAATATGACCTTGAATATATCCCTTCAGAATTTAGAGACCATCTAAAGAATAGATTTGATGCGTTGAATACCAGTGACCGAAAACTAGAGAAATTGTGGGATGACATCAAGAGCATCATCCATGAAGAAAGCAAGAGGTCATTAAAGAGCTAGGAAAGGAAGAAAAGACCAAAATGGATGTCAGAAGAGACTCTGAAACTTGCCCTTGAAAGGAGATAGCCAAAGCAAATGGAAAAACATGATAAAATAAAAGAGCTGAAAAGAAGATGTCAAAGAAAGTCAGTTATTATAGTGACATGTGCAAAGACCTGGAGTTAGAAAACCAAAAGGAAAGAACATGCTCAGCATTTCTCAAGCTGAAAGAACTGAGGAAAAAAATTAAGCCTTGAGTTGCAATATTGAAAGATTCTATGGGCAAAATACTGAATGATGCAGGAAGCATCAAAAGAATATGGAAGGAATACACAGAGTCACTGTTCCAAAAAGAACTGGTCGATCTTCATCCATTTCAAGAGGTGGCATATAATCAAGAATCAGTGATATCGAAGGAAGCAGTCAAAGCTGCACTGAAGGAATTGGGGAAGAACAAGGCTCCAGGAATTGACGGAATACCCATTGAGATGTTTCAACAAACAGATGTCCCACTGGAGGCTCTCCCTTGGTTATGCCAAGAGATTTGGAAGACAGCTACCTGGCCAGCTGACTTGAAGAGATCCATATTTGTATCCATTTCAAAGAAAGGTGATCCTAGAGAATGTGGAAATTATTGAACAATATCAATATTGCAAGCAAGTAAAATCTTACTGAAGATAATTCAGAAATAGTTGCAGCAGTATATTGACAGAGAACTCCCAGAGGTGCAAGCTGGATTCAGAAGAGGATGTGGCACAAGGGATATCATTGCTATTTTCAGATGGATCTTGGCTGAAAGCAAAGAATACCAGAAATATGTTTACTCATGTTTTATTGACTATGCAAAAGCATGTGATGTGTGGATCATAACAAATTTTGAGTAAAATTAAGAAGGATGGGAATTCCAGAACACTTAATTGTGCTCATGAGGAACCTGTACCTATAGACTAGGAGGCTGTCATTCGAACAGAACAAGGGGACACTACATGGTTTAAAATCAAGAAGAAAGGTATCCTTTCACCAGACTTACTCAGTCTGTATGCTGAGCAAATAATCTGAGAAGTTGGACTATATGAAAAAGAATGTGGCATCAGGATTGGAGGAAGGATCACTAACAACCTGCAATACACTGACAACACAACTTTGCTTGCTGAAAGTGAGGATGACTTGAAGCACTTACGGATGAAGATGGAAAACTACAGTCTGCAGTATGGATTACATCTCAGTATAAAGAAAATAAAAATCCTCACAGCTGGACCTATAAGCAGCATTTCGATAAATGGAGAAAAGATTGAAGTTGTCAAAGACTTTACATTGCTTGGTTCGACAATCAATGCCAATGGAAGCAGCAGTCAGGACATCAGACGATGCATAGCACCGGGCAAGTCAGCTGCAAAGGACCTCTTTCAAGTGCTGAGGAGCAAAGATGTCTCCTTGAGGACTAAGGTGCGCCTGACACAAGCCTCATAATGCATGTGAGAGCTGGACAATGAATAAGGAAGACTGAAGAAGAGTGGATCCTTTTAAGTTGTGGTGCTGGCGAAGAATGCTGAAAGTACAATGGACTGCTAAAAGAACTAACAAATCTGGCCTGGAAGAAGTGCAGCTGGAATGTTCCTTGGAAGCGAAGCTGGCCAGACTTCATCTCACCTACTTTGGTCACGTTGTCAGAAGGGACCATTCCCTGAGAAGGATGTCATGCTTGGTGAGGTGGAGGGTCGACAAAAGAGGGGAAAGGCCCTCAACGAGATGGATTGACACAGTGGCTGCGGCAATGGGCTTAAGCATAGCAAGGATTGTGGAGCTGGCGTAGGTTCAGGCAGTATTTTGTTCTGCTGTGCATCAGGTCGCTATGAGTCGGAGATGACTCGATGGCATCTAATAAGAACAACAAAATTGTATGAGTTATGTTTTAGATTGTGAAAAAAAAAAGATTTTTTTTTCTCATGTGATATTTTTACGTCTTGGATTCTAAAAGAGGTAAACTTCTTTTGTCTTTTTCTTTTCATCTTAAGTCTTCTATTTGTTTTAAATGTGTCATATGTGGACATTTTAAAAAACTCATATCCAAAGGACTTTTTAATGGTAATCTATAATCTTAGTGCTACATTTCTGTTACTTTTATGCCTTTAGTTATGTTTTCTTTCTGCCTTTAAATATGTTTTCTTTAATTTTTTAATATGAAAGAAATA